GACACTTTCCAGGAAACACACAACGCGGATAAAAAATGCCTAATTGCTGTCGATGGAGCAGATATCGGCCTGGATGGCAATTAGGTTCTTTATTTTTGTTTATTATCAATCACGTTGCGTGATTTCTGGATGTTGTTGTTTGTAGGAAATGGGAGCTACATCCGATTGTTGGCTTGTTGTTTTCGAAATTGACACGATTTGGCAACGCTTGGCTTTGATCGGCACGGACAAGATTTACGGAAAAAAACCAACTTCGGTGTAATTATTTCTAGTTTTGAAATCTTCCCCGGAATTAGTCCCGAACTATCAGATCCGCTCACGAACGAGGAAACGCTCCTAATTTTATAAATTATAACAGCATTACAGCCGAAACACCAGCACTATAATTTGTAGTGTATAACCCCATAATTGCAGCTTCTAATTACTCCGAAAACATTTACACGTGTTCATTTCGAGCAACAAACTCGCTACCTGTCACAAATATTCTTAATTGCTTTTTAACATTTGTATAATAATAAATAGAGAAGTATAAAGTGATGTTATCAGTAACCGTCGTCTAGTTCCACGGAACTGCCGCTAATTTAAAGCAGTTTAAACGTAGCAGCATTTAGGTACATGTTACCTGTAATTACCCCTCTTCGCTCTTGTATTAAACTTCAAAACTTGTTTTGTATTTTGTGTTGGATAATTTCAGCGTACACCACTCGAGTTCTTGCGGTGGAGGAAATTATCGAGGCGAGTACGTGTGCTGAACGGGTATTGAAAATTTTTGGGAGGGTTAATTACGACTCGGGAGGGTTAAATCGCGAACATCATCCCTCGACGGAAAACATGGGAGTGCTGAGCTGATTACAAACTGATGCTAAGTTCCTCCGACATCGCAAAAATCTTTATCACTGGTCGTAAATTCTCCGCGTTTATTTGTCTAGAGACTGATCGATTCAATTTTAAACAACAATTAATCAGACAATTGTTTCTATGGCAAGTAATCATGAATCATAGTTAATCAACAATGAAAAGTATTGCGAGATTAGATGGGCCGGAAAATTCGGGTATCCACATATAATTAAAAACGGCATGTATCGACAGCCGTTTGAATTAAATAACAATGAAGCAGTTTCATAAGCTCCTCGTCCAAAATGTGTAATTTATGTGTCTATAAAAAACTGTATAACGTAGACAAATTTTCGGTGAAGTCATTTCTACTTTCGAGAAATACAGTAGGCGTCAGCGCGCATCCCGGCATCGAAAATACGTTTCATGAAAGAAAAAACGTGCGACTTGATTAAGTGTGATCCAAAATTTAAATGTGGAGCGATTGCGATTTTAGATACATATTTTCCGACATACATAAAACATAATTTTCGACGTCACCCTACCTTAAATAAATTTTAATATTTACCCTAGTTTCCTTTACATGGGGGTATTTCGCACAGACCCCACATGCGTGTGATATAAACACTTGTAAAATTAAGTACAAATACATACGTACAACTCTATTAGAAGACTGATTAATTTTTAAAAAGTCGCATGTTGTGCATAATTTTTTAATAAATCCGTCATTTCACGTTTCGTTGAAAGATAATCCAGAAAGCAGGAAATGTAGCAGTTAATAAGAAATTCCATTAAGGCTGGACGTTTTTTGGAAAATTTAGCGCGAATTTGTGGTTATAAATAGGGTACTATGAAAGTGCATTATGCACCGTCGTTAGAGATATTTAAATAACGGTTTATTATAGATAACAACGCTGACGCTTTTGATGTAGTCGTTAACAAGCAAGTATACATATAATTATTTAAATATTGTTATGGAATTTTAAAGTGGGGAAATAACAATCAAGTGTTTTACAAAACAACTGAAATTACACGTGTTTCGTTGTCAGTGAAATTAAGTTTTTCTTTATCGTGTGATCACGATTTGAATAAACTGTCATCTGTTTCGATAATGGAAAAAAGTTTTTCGTACTCTGCTTTGAACTAAGCGAAATCGAATGGTAAAAATTGAATTTTGTCTCTCAGCTGAACAAAATTAGTCTAGAAAATTAATTTCAGGACTATTGGAACATGTTTATTTTTTGAAAAAATTTTCCGGAGATTTTTTTAGTCAAAATTTTTGATTTATTCAAGCTCTTTTAGTTAAACGTAGCTAGATTTGTCTGAAAATCAATCTTTCCCTAATTCGAACCACCCGAATAGGAATCTGGAACCAAAAAAATTGTAGAAAAACTCTTGATTTTTTTTTATTTTTTCATGTTTAAATCTTTCTAAAATAAAACCGTTCGTTTAAAAATGTACGTAGATTCTAAACAGACATAGATTCCTAGGTAAAAATTTACTCTAATGCTAAGAAAACTATGGTAACTCGAATAGTAGAAACCGGAATCCGCTCTCTTTGTCCGTTCAAGACTTATGGACCATCAAAGTTACAATTTGGTTTTTTGAGTTTTAATGAAAGAAGGATTTTCTATAAAATAGTGAAAATTTTGAACCAAAAACGTTGTAAAATATAAAATGAGGAGCAATCAAGTTTGAAAAAAGTTTAACATGTGTATATATCGAGTGTTCAGTTGAAAAAATTATCAAGTTGGCCTTGATTTTTTGTAAACATTGAGAAGTTTCCTAGTAAACTTAAAATTTAATCGATGACAGCTGACAAAGCAGAGTCGTGTACTTAACCTCACTTTTTGGTACTTAAAAACTTGATGAATTGAACATCCGTTATACAGGGTGGTTCAGAGACCCTGCATAATTTTAATGGCGAATTATATATAAATATATGTATATTTAAAATATAGTTTTAAGAATCTCTAATAACCATATTTTAAGGAATTGTATTTAACATATTTTCTTATTTTTTGACATATAATTCGCCCTTAAAATTATTCAGTGCTATGATCACCCTATATAAAGCCATGTTTTGTAAAAATGGTAGTGAAATATGAAGGACGGTGGACGTAGCTAATTTTTTTAGGTATTAATTTGTGTAAGTATAATACGTGGAAAACAATATAAACATTAAACATATAACAATGAACGGGTAAAACTGTCGGACAGAATCTGTTCAAGATAAGTTTTGTTCAAACACACACGAAAATTTCCAAACCCTTGTACCTACAAGCAAAAAAAAAGTTTCGTATAGATTTTGAAAAACCAAAAAAAATGGTAGCGTTTGAATACAAACTTTTAGAACATAATATGGGGTTCAGAGAGACAAAAAATTAAAAACTTTCACAATTAAACTGATTTTTTTTTCGCTTTCGTTAAAGTCGGTTTAGTTCGCTTGCCTTAAGGCACGGTTACACAGTCGTAAAACTGTCAAGTGAAGCTTGCAAAATAATAAGTCAATTTACGACTTCGTGGTATAAAAATCGCGGTTTTCACGGATTCATTGTCGCTTAAAAATTAACGGTGTTATAGATGTTTTTAGCAGAAAATGAACATGACACCACATCATAGGTAACATGATATTAATAACTATGCTCGTAAATACGTAGTCATCTCTAACACAAAAGAGCAATCGATACTTTGCAAGATGATTTTCAAACCATATTATGTAACAAGAATATACGCGATTTGTACTTTTTAAATTGTTTTGGTTCTCACGAAGTCCTGATGTTTAACTCGTGCTTTCAACACACCTCAAATATGTTTAGAGATTGACATTACTACACCGGGCATGGTTTGCGACGAACGTCAACTGTGTGTTATTTACGGATTCAAAAAACACGAAAGTTTTGACTCGTCTACTGAAGCTGAACTAACAAATGAGTGGTAATAATGAAATATTTAACATTTCTGAACTGTTTTCTCTTGAAAAGTTAGTTTAAATTTTTTTCTATAACACTTACTGAAAAGAGAGAGTTGTTTTTTTTTTCAGGGATGTAGTATTCATTTAATAGAAAATGTAATAGAAGTTTTAAGTTCCTGGACTATCATTTTCTTGGAGAAAAAAATGCTTGAAATATGTAAACTTTCAAAAACAGCCTATTTTGCTCCCTGAAATCGTCATTTTTTTAAAGGCAGTCTCAAGAGATACTGAAAAAAAAGGAATATTTTCAAAACGTAGGTATCTCAAAATTTGAAAACAATCATTTTATTCCATGTAGTGAAAGGTAAAACGAAAAATGTAATTCCCATCATAATGTTATTTGATGCGTTTATTGTACAAAGAGATTTATTTATTGCTTCCTTAACACATTTGGTTCTTGATTTATTTTTACAATCTCGAAGTTGTCGGAGCTTGAATATTTTCGACTTTTAAAGTATGATGAGACAGATTCTTGATTGTAATTAAATTCATAAATGCATCTTCAATATCTGTTTTGAAACCAAAAAGGACCCCATTAATTGGAACTGAAAGAAAACTGTATTGGAAGACAATAGTTCCCAGTGGAAGCCAATTAAAAAAATTATATCTGTTATTAGTGAGATGACAATAACATAACCGGACTTACTGGCGTGAAAACAGGAACGTGGGGACTATATTTCCTGAAAGTTTCAACTTTGTATTTTCAGGAAGTTAAAACTTCATTTACTTTTACTGTTGGTGTTTCTAGTGCTTGTTCAAGTAGGGTACTTATATTAATTATTGAAAGCACCCTTCTTAGGCAGTAAAATAAAAATATAATCATTTCAATACACTGCGTTTTACAAAAAAACAAATCTTTGACTAGTTTGTCTGGATATTTTTTAATAACGTTGTAAAATTAACATTACAGCGCTTTTAAAACCCTTGTCGTTGTTATTTGTGGCAAAAATTTCATACAAACAATAGAATTAATTTATAGGCTATAACCACCCTAAACTAATTTATTAATCAGATACACATTTCATTTTAAAATTACCTAAATGAAAAGAAAATGCGTCATTAAGAATAACACGATTCCATTATAGCTCCTAGTTTTATGATAGTGTTTTACGTATTTATTTCGGGTCCGAAAAAAGCAATTTTGGCGTCTGGCGTTGCCGCCGCTAGCGTCTTTCCTCCCCACCACCCCTACCTGATGCGAAAAATACTCCTCGTGTCCCCCAAGACCCTCCTGATGAGTCCGCATGTCGTTCCTGCCCATCTCCCTGCCCAGATCCTGCTCGATCTCCTGATGAATGAGCTCGGGATGCTGCGTCGCCGCCAGATCCTGCTGGTGCGGCATGTTCATCTCCTGCTGCATCTCGCCCATCGCCTGCATCTCGCCCATCCCCACGCCCATCACCAAAGGGGATACGTGGGACTCCCAAGCGTCCTCCATCTTGGCCGCCCACTCTCGGCCCACTCGATTTGAATAACTTTATATGCGTAAGAACAATTAATTAATTATGCGGCGGCGATGCTGGTGGTCGATAAGGCCCGCGACCATCGTCCGAGAAACCCAAAAACTAGTCGCGCACTGGAAACGCCACAGGTGTCGGTTATTTTTCCGGGGTTCGTGCGTCGACGAGCACGACGTGCACCAGGAGGCGGTTCACGGACGCCACTGCGCCACCGGGGGTTCACAAATTCCACCACAGTCCGAAAGCGCGCGCTTTTCCACCGGAGCGACTACGGTGCGACTAAGAGCCAGCAAGTGTATGGTTTAGGTGGAAGGAAGGTTGACTGTAACAATGTGTGTGTGTCGGCAGGACAGCGGTGCCGTCGGCAGCGTGAGGAGACTGCGTGAGGTCGGTGGTGACCGCCCCCCTCTACCCCCACCGTGATGCACCGTGCCACCCCCCGAACACTATTATAATTAGCTGCACGGCGTGTGCGAGAGCGAGGCCGGAGCCCCTGCCTACGACGGCTTCGAGGGGCTCCAGGTGAGCGCGGACGCGGTGATTGGACGGAGAGGAACGTGTTTCGCCGACGAGAGGAGCATCTTCGGGCGCTGAGGTGGCGTCGAGGCGGGATGAACTGACCGCGAAAGCTAATTGCGAACCGGAATGACGCAACGTCGAAACACGGACGAACGTCCTTAGGAAAGTATCGAATTTGCGGTTTAGGGAGCTTCCGAAACTTGCAGAATGCGAAAGTGCGAGTTGTGCAATTCTTTTTGAAATTACGAACTAAAATTATTGAGTTATTTAAGTGTTTGACAAATAATATCCATTTTAGGTCTTGTAGATGACGTCACTAATTTTTGGGAGGAAATAAATCAACGGATTTAGTTAGTCTTCAAGACCTTGTATGTTTTTATGAAATTTCTGCCCTACAGCAATTCTAACATGGTTTCTTTCAGTTTCTTTATGCTTCTGAGATTAGGAAACGAATTAGAGAATTTTAAAATCAGAATGGTGTTTAAGTTTTGTCTTGCCTATCTACACTACACTATAATAATTGGTAGAAACTATTTTAACAGATCCGCTTCCTTAAAAAGTTATAAAATTTGGTTTTGCGAAATTCGCAAGAATTCGACTATGAGCACGTTCAGATTGCAAGCATCATCGGCTAAAAGATTGATTAATTAATTATCCATACTCTGATTTTTTCCTAAAAATGGTCATAAATTTGACACATTCATTCGGTAAAATTTTGATTAACACAGCATCCGGTTTTTGCAATTTCAAAGTTAAATTGTAAAATATTGTTATAAAATTTATAACCTTGCAAATGTTTTTGTGAAAATTTTAACGTTTAGCGAAAAAATTGAAAGCGGATTCATACACTACAACTATAGGAGTATATTTTTGTAGACGTCATTAAATTGTTGGTGGGGATGATTAGTCAAATTTTGGTTAGCATTACTTTTTTTGGAACTGTAGGGGTCACGAAACGTCGAGGAAATATAAAAGTAGTCATTCGTCCGATGGACTCGATTACTATAGTTCCTAACCCGGACAGATGGCAGGGAGACAAACAGACGAAAACTGGAGACCAATTTCGAAAAATATTTAGTTCTAAAAAAAATGTGAATGCAGAGAAACTGAATACAAACTCTTGCACACCACTCTTGTACCACGGTAAAAATAAAGCGTGATAATAGAAAAATCGATGAACTGGAAAATCGAGAAATCCAAAAATTTTGAAATCAAAATATAAATAATAAAAATTAAAATAGGCTCCGCCTCTCAGTTTGGTAACAGATGAAAAATTTATTAAAACTGAGACTGAGGAGGATCGTATTCTTTTAACAACACGATACAAAAAAACATTTTTAATTACTACCAGAGACATAAAGATTTTGCAATTAAGCTCCGCCCTCTTGACTCACGACGAATAAAAAAAATCATCACAATTGAGATAGGGTGGGCGGGCGGGGCTTATATTTTGCCCTTTTTCTTAATATACGTAGTCATATTTTCACAACCAGAAACTTACGACATGCTCAAAATAGTAGATTTGTACAAGGGAATATTGATTTTGCAATTAGGCTCCGCTCCTCGTTTTAACAACGAATGAAAAATTTAATAAAATTGAGATTGAGTAGGATATGGGTGGGGCTTAATCTTTCGCTTTATTGTTTTCTTAATATAAGCATAGTATTCTTTGAACAAATAAAACATCATTAAAAAACAGATTTTTAATTTCAGCTGGAGACATAAGGATTTTGCAAGTCTGTAATTTTTCACTTTTAGGAACTATAAAGTATTTTATTTTGAGAAAACACATTTTTTTATAAATTGTTTATATACTAAAGACCAAATTGTATTGACACCACAACAAAGCTCGTACTTTGGAATAATGTGGCCAGATGGCATCGGAATTTCAAAAATAAAATATGATTATAGAGCCATGAAAAATATAACATACTTAGTTTGTATATCGTACAGTTGAAAAAAATTTTTTGTTTGCATGTTGTCAAAAAAAGTCTATACATATTCAAACAAAAAGGCAAAATGTTGGCCCGCCCACCCACCCTGTTTCAATTGTGATGAATTTTTTTTATTCACTATGAACCAAGGGGGCGGAGCTTAACTGCAAAATAGTTATTTCTTTACAAGAAATTAAAAACATGTTTTTGAGTACCGTGTTTTTCAAACAACACTACTTTTGTTAAGAAAGAACAGCAAAATATAAACCCCGCCCACCCACCCGTCTCAATTGTGATGATTTTTTTCTTATAAATTTAAAACACGTTTAAAATGGCAAATTTGTGTAAGGAAATATGGATTTTGCAATTAGCCCCCCCCCCCAGGTCTTCATTAGTATTTACATCAGGGCAGGTATGGGTGGGGCTTAATTTTTGGCTTTAATTTTTTCTTATTAAATGTACATAGTATTCTTTGAATAACGCGATACTCAAAAACATTTTTAATTACTGCCAGAGACATAAGGATTTTGCAATTAAGCTCCGCCCTCTTGGCTCACGACAAATAAAAAAAATCATCACAATTGAGATAGGGTGGGCGGGTGGGGCTTATATTTTGCCCTTTTTCTTAATATACGTAGTCATATTTTCACAACCAGAAACTTACGACATGCTCAAAATACATAGTAGATTTGTGCAAAGGAATATTGATTTTGTAATTAGGCTCCGCTCCTCGTTTTGACAACGAATGAAAAATTTAATAAAATTGAGATTGAGGAGGATATGGGTGGGGCTTAATCTTTCGCCTTATTTTTTTCTTAATAGAAGCATAGTATTCTTTGGACAAATAAAACATCATTAAAAAACATATTTTTTATTTCAGGTGGAGATATAAGGATTTTGCAATTAAGCTCCGCCCTCTTGGCTCGCGACCAATTAAAAAAATCGTCACAATCGAGATAGGGTGGGCGGGCGGGGCTTATATTTTGCCGTTTTTCTTAATATGCGTAGTCATCTTTTCACAAACAGAAACTTACGGCATGTTTACTATGGTAAATTTGTATAAGGAAATATCGATTTTGCAATTAGGCTCCGCCCTTCGGTTTGACAACGAATGAAAAATTCATCACGATTGAGATAGCGACGGATGGGTGGAGCTTATCTTTCGGCTTTCTCTTTACTTTTCGTTTTTTAAACGCTTTAGTTAATTTAGAAAAAAAACCGTCTTATGACAAATTGGAAATCAAAAGTAATTAAAATAAAAATTAGTAAGTAAAAATAATAAGAAATAATTTTTCGTCAACTTATTTATCTAAACAGTTTAAGTAATTTAGCAGAAAATGTTTGTACTTCCTTAAAAATAGAAAATTAAAAAAAAAATAGTAAATTTTCATCAACGTGGATTTTTGAAACAGTTTAAGTAATTTAGGAAAACATTATTCATGTAAAAAATATTAATGAAAAAATTTTCATAAACTTCGTTTTTTAAAAAAGTTAAATTTAAGAAATCAAAAATATTAAAAAATAAATTTTTATCAAGTTCCAATTTTAGTCATCATTTTACCATCTACCACGATATTCCTAAATTACATACAAAATTTGACAACAATCGGTCCAGTAGTTTGGGAGAATATATTTCTAATAAATATCGACGAGAGACAGACAGGTAGACGACAAACAAACGAAAACGGAAGACCCTAGATTAGCTTAATAAAAAGCCAACATACGAATTTGATGACGTCATAATTATCATATCTGATAGCTTGAATGTTCAAGACTATGTTGCAGTGCCTCAATTCCTTAAAAGTACTCGAGATGGCGTCATGATTTTTTCAAGAGATTGAATAAGTAAATTTTTGTCAAGCGATTGTTAAAAATTTTTAAGTAACCGGATTAACACATGAGTAATAAGTCTGTTACCACAATACGGATAATAGTCACAAAAATAAAAAAAATAACAAAATTTACAATTTATCGTAAAGAAATAAGGATTTTGCAATTTAAGCTCCGCCCTCTTGGCTCACAAAGAATAAAATAAATAATCACAATTGAGATAGGGTGGGTGGGCGGTTACATTTTGCCTTATTTTCTTAATGCATATATGTAGTCATCTTTTCACAACAACTTAAAACATGTTTAAAATGGTATCTGTATAGAAAACTATCGATTTTGCAATTACGCTCCGCCCCTCGGTTTGACAACGAATGAAAAATTCATCACGACAGAGATCGAGACGGTTGGGTGGGGCTCCTTTTTTGGATTTCTTTTTTAATTAATACATTTAGTTTTCTTTGTATAAGGCGATTACTTAAGAACACATTTCACATGGTAATTTCTCGTAGAAAAATAACGATTTTACAATTAAGCTCCGCCCCTCGGCTTACGACGAATAAAAAAAATCATCAGAATTGAGATATTTCTTATACTTTGGCTTTCCTAATATATACATAGACTTCTTTTCACAACAAAAAACTTAGAACATGGTTAAAATAGTACATTTTTGCAAGGAAATAATTATGGGGTGGAGTCTAATTGGAAAATGGATATTTCCTCATATCAATTTTCCATTTTAAGAATGTTTTTAGTTTCATGTTGTGAAAAAAAGTCTGCACATATTCAAACTATAAGGCAAAATGTAAGCCCACCCACCCGCCCGGTCTCGATTGTGATGATTTTTTTAATGCGCCCTGAACCAAGAGGGCGGAGCTTAACTGCAAAATACTTGTTTCTTTACGAGAAATTAAAAACATGTTTTTAAGCATCGTGTTTTCAAATAATACTATGTATATGTATCAAGAAAACAAGGCAAAGTATAAACTCCGCCCAACCACCCATTACTATTTAGATCAGGACAGGTATGGGTGGGGCTTTACTTTTCAAAAGTATGTTGCAGTGCTGCAAT